GAATAGTGTCAAAGATCATCTTTATCAATTAGCCAAGGCGGAAGAAATAATGTGGAAGCATAGATCTAGAGTTCATTGGCTTAAAGAGGGGGATAACAACACGGCTTTTTTCCACAGGACTGCCTCCTACCATAGGAGGAAAAATTTTATCCCCTACCTTAGTATTGACAATTGCATCATTTCTTCAGATTCAGACATGAAAAGAGCCTTCTACGATTACTTCTCCAACCTATTCCATCAACCCCCCAAACCAAGACTTTCTATTAATTGGAATAGCTTATATCCTGACAACATTGTAGATCTATCACCCCTTGATTCTCATTTTTCCCCTGAAGAAATAAAAGCTACAGTATTTGATCTCCATCCTGAGAAATCCCCTAACCCGGATGGGCTGCCTCTTCTCTTCTTCCAAAAGTTTTGGTCCACCATCCATCTGGACGTCACTACTTTCATTCAATCTCTCTTCTCCCACCATCATCTCCTCCACAACATCAACTACTCCTATATTTGTCTAATCCCTAAGATAGATTGTGCATGTTCTCCATCAGACTTCCGTCCTATCAGTCTAATCAATAGCATTTGCAAGATCTTCTCCAAAGTCTTGGCCAATAGACTAAAGAACTTCCTCTCACACCTTGTAGATAACTCCCAAGCTGCTTTCCAAAGTGGTAAATCAACTTTGGACTCTATCCTTCTAGCTCATGAGATGGTTAACTACTGTTCTTTGGGCAAAAAAGAGATCTGTGCTATCAAGGTTGATTTCTCCAAGGCTTTTGATTGCGTGAATTGGCATTTCCTCTTGAGCCTACTCAAGGCCAGAGGCTTTGGACCTCACTGGTGTTTTTGGACCCACTCCATACTCTCCTCGTCCAAATCATCAGTGTTAGTCAATGGTTCCCTGACAAAATTCTTCAATTGCTACCGTGGTCTTAAGCAGGGTGACCCTCTGTCACCGATGCTTTTCTTGTTGGTAGTGGACGTCCTATGTAAGATGATAAAGAGTAGTGCTGCAGCAGGTGACCTCTCCAATCTTCACCTCAAAGGTGAACTAAACCACATTAGATCTCTTCAATTTGCGGATGACACTATCATTTTCTTCAAAGCTGCTCATTCCGATATCACAACTCTCAAAACAGTCCTCTTGCTCTTTGCTTACATTTCTGGACTTAAGATCAACCAGTCCAAAATCAGCCTCTTCTACCTAGGTAAAGTTCCTTTCAAGGGTGCTCGATTAGCCAGTTCTTTTAATTGTGCTGTGGGTAAATTACCTTTCTCTTATCTTGGTCTTCCCTTGAAAAAAGGTTCTCTTTCAAGAAGAGAATGGCAACCCCTATTAGATTCTTTTTCTAAAAAACTTGCTCTTTGGAAAAATAAAACTTTGTCTATCGAGGGGAGACTGACATTGATCAACTCAGTTCTATCCTCCCTCCCCTTGTACTATATGTCCTTCCTTAAGCTGCCTGTATGGGTTAAAAAAATTGACAGTATTAGAAGATCTTTTCTGTGGTGTGGTCAGGCTTACTCCTCCAAAGTTAAATGTCTAGTTAGTTGGGGGTCTGTCTGCAAAGCCAAATCTGAAGGGGGTTTGGGGGTTAAAGACATCTCCTCTTTTAACATTGCCCTCCTATCAAAGTGGATCTGGAAAATCTTGGAGAGAAACTCTTTTCTTAGCAAAGTCTTCTTCTCTTTATACTCTAAAGATCAATCCAATCCTCTTGGCCAACCTCCCAAAAGCTCGGCATCCAAATTCTTTCGTGAGTTGCACTCCATCAGTTCTCCCTTTTTCAGCCACGTGAAATGGACCCTGGGGGATGGTAAAACTTGTAATTTTTGGAGGGATAAATGGACAGGAGATAACTCCCTGAGTAGTATGTTCCCAAATGCTCACCTTCTGGCTTTCTCTAAAAACTGCTCCATTCTATCGCAAGGCTTAATGCAATCTTCTACTTGGCAGTGGCATCCAATCCTGAGGAGAGGTATCACTCATATAGCTAAGGATGAGACAAATGCTCTCCTTAACCACCTAGCCTTCTTCTCAATCCAAGCTTCAGCTTCTCACAACAAGCTTCACTGGCCTTATCTTCCTTCAGGTTCTTATTCTGTCAAATCATTCTACGATCTCATAACCTCAGGTGGAGTTACCTCTCGCTACTACAAATTCATTTGGAACTCCCCTACTCCTTTGAAGGTTAAAGTGTTTTTCTGGATTTCCAGCAAGCACAAGTTGAATACCAGGGAGAATCTGGCTACTAAAGGTTGGGAATGTAGTCTGCTCTGCCCTCTTTGCAATGAGGTCATCGAATCTCATGATCACCTATTCACTAGGTGTGCCATCTCGTCTTCAACGTGGTCTCTTCTTCTTCCACTCATCCCATCAATTGATCGGCCTCATAACCTGGATGACATGATCTCTCTCAATTTCATTTTAGCAATCAATCAGGACATCATTTTATTATGGAGAGTCTTTTTACCGTGCTTCTGTTGGTATTTATGGAATAGCCGCAACAACTTCGTCTTTAATGGGATCGAAGTCTGTCATCATCGCATTGCTTCTAATGTAGCTAGACATGTTCTATCTTGGACAGGTACTAATGCTAGTAAATCTGGACCTAAGCTCCATCAAGCGGTAATCAACCTGGGACTGAAGCATATCACACAATCTAACAACGATGCTGATGTGGGTGATAACTTCTCAACCGCAGGTTGATCCTCCTATCCTCCTCTCTGTTGTCTTTCTGGCCTCCTTTTGAAGACGCTGAAGCACTCAGCCTATTTTGGAGATTTTTGCGTTTTGTTTGATGCTTGGTAGAGGTTGAAGCATTTAGTCTATTTTAGAGCACTTGTTGTTTTGTTTTGATGCTTCTCCAGTGCTTATGTGTAGCAAGTCTTATTGAGTCTAGTTTGTTTTTGACCACTCTTTGGTTAGACTTGTAGCAGTTGTCAGATTTGTAATTTGTTACTAGAAACATCTTTTAGCGGTTATTTTCTATCTTGATCAAAATGTAGCCGACGGTTTACTAGGCTTGTCCTTCTGAAAGCACCCTGGACTGTGACACCCCCACTTTACTCCCATATGAACTAGTGTGAAGAAATGTTAGTGGTTTAAATAGAGAAAAACCCAAGACCCAATGACAACAAGTGCTAGCATTTTGGCAGTGAATTTCAGCCAACATCGAATTGCTCTCGGTGGGTCCCACGGCTTGCACGCGCCAACGGAC